GGGTCGCTATGAGTCAGAATAGACTCGACGGCGATGGGTTTGGTTTTTTTTTGGTTTCCAGATGAAGAAACTGAGACATGGAGAGGCCAGGTGACTTGTCCAAGGTCCCACAGGTAGCCAGGGTTCCTCCCAGGATACTCAGTGATGCCCCTGCCAGCTCCAGGTGTAAGTCATCCCTGGGTACCTTTCTCAAGGTGGACACACCTGTCCTTCAGTCTCCTAGCCTGGTTCACCTGCTGTCCCCTTCAGGGTGTTCCTCCCTCTGACCTCTGCTCTTTTTCTCCTGCCTCTCCTCCTGCTCACAGTGCCCTCCTTCCCACCTGTCCTTTCAGACATGCCTGGATTCCCACCTCTTCCAGGAAGCCTCCCCTGATTGGTTCTGCTGGAACTGATCTCCTGTGGATAATGGAGCAACCGGAGTGTGTTCAGTGGTTTGGCAACAAATCAAATACTTCCTGGTGTGTCTTCCTGGACTGTGGTGAGAACTCAGGATCTAGAATCAGAATCCATGCCCTGCCAGGAAGTTCCCAGCCAATGGTCACCACCCAGGGCTGCCAGGCCTCCCTGCTATCCCCGTCTGGACCGCAGGGGAGAGAGGCTTAGACATAGCTTTTTCTATCGTCCCGGAAGCAGTAGAAACAAGGCACATATTACGGGGAAAGTGGATTAAGACCAAGACCATTCACCACCTTTTAGCCAATACCTATAGGGGCTTGGAATGTTCTAGGTGCTGCGGACAAAGGCCCTGTTCTCAAAGAGTGTGCTGTTCTTGTTGTTAGGTGCCGTCGAGTAGATTTTTGACTCATAGCAACCCCATGTGACAGAGTCGAACTGCCCCATAGGGTTTTCTAGGCCATAATCTTTATGGGAGCAGATTGCTGGGTCTTTCTCCTGTGGAGCTGCTGAGTGTGTTTGAACTACCAACTTTTTGGTTTGCCGCTGAGTGCTTAACTGTTGCACCACCAGGGGGTGCAGACAGGCAAAAACAAGGTAACAGAGGTAGTGGGAGGTGTGAGGAAGATCATAAAACAGGACAACGGGCTGACTCACGCAGACAGTCCCTGAGGATGGAGCTGAGATCTGAATAAAGGGAAGGAGCCAGGTGCAGGATGCACCCTCCAGGCAGGGGGAACAGTAAGTGCAGGGTCCCTGAGGAAGACAGGTGCTTGTGTTTGAGACACAGAAGGAAGGCAGGTATAGCCACAGCATCCTGAGCGAGAGGGAGGGGTGTCCAAGCTGAGACCAGAGAGGAGGCAAGGGCGAGCCTGGGTTGTTTCTGGTGCCGTGGGAAGCAGAGGAGAGCCACATTTGATCCAAAGACCCGGCTGGCACGGTGGGGGCCCAGGCCACAGCCTCTGGCTGCCCATTGGCACAGCCACTGCCCCATCTGAGGACACATCTCCAGACCCTTCCAGCACTACAGCCAGGTGGGGATGGAAGGTGGGAGCTGGACCATAGTTCTCCTTGTGGTTGTTAGTTGCTGTCGAGTCGATTCTGACTCATGGCGATCCCATGTGTGTCAGAGTAGAACTGCCCCATAGCGTTTTCTTGGCTATAATCTTTATGGAAGCAGATTGCTAGGCCTTTGTTCCACAGTGTTGCTGGGTGGGTTCTAAGCGTCAACTTTTAGTTTAGCAGTCGAGCAGAAACCACAGGATCTATGAACTGCGCTCTATGGAGTTTCAATGGCTGATTTTTCAGAAGTAGATCCTAGGTGCCTCTGGGTGGACTTGAACCTCCGACCTTCCAGTTAGCAGGTGAGCATTTTAACTGTTTACACTATCCTGGGGACTACAGTTCCCCTTAACCTGCTTCTGAAGCTTACACAGGGACTGTCTGGATTTTAAAAATCCATTTTTTTTTTTTTTAAAACAGCAAGGATTAAAAGCAGTTAAAAAACAACAAAAACAAAAATAAAAAAATAATAAAAAAAAAAAAGGAGAAGTTAACAAGAAAGCTTTTCCCAGCTGCAGCTCAGTTCGTGACAACATCCAGGCCTGGTGCAGTGTCTCCTGGCCCCACCAAGCGGTACTTATCTGACGCAATTATCTCTTTTATATTAATATTTAAGACCAAGTTTAACTGAGTCCTGGCCCAGCTGCTGATGGAGGACAGCTAACCAGAAAGGGTGTTTATCTGAGATCTTTAATAACTGGCGGCGTTAGTCACAGAGTCTCCATTTCCAGATAGCTGAAACCCCCATGTGCAGCAAGATGGAATTCACTAGCTAGAAAAAGGGCCTCATGGGTGTGAAAAGCTTTCGCCCATCAACTGCTAAGGTGGCGTGTTGTTTTCTTGTCCCCTTTCCTCCTTGGGAAGCAAATGTTCCTAGGATATTTCAGCACCACACATTAGTTTAGAAATGTCTTGGATGGCAGAATAGACATTTTCCTTGAGGCCCTCAGGAACCTAAGAGATACGTCCACCCTCCACCTCCATCATGAATCCTATCTCCACTGGAGGGGGCAAGGTCCCCAAGTGGAGCCTCAATAAATATTTGCTGAATAAATGAAAGGTACCAATGACTAACCAGAATAAAAAGAAAGAAAGAAAGAAAAGAAAAAGCACAGTCTCTCTCTTGAGAAATTTCCATCAGAATTAGAAGTCCCGTTGCGGCCAAACTAGCTGACCCTTTGTCCTTCCCTGAAGGTTGGATTTAGAATATGAAGCTTTAAGAATTCGGTCATCTAATGGACTCATGGCAGAAGTGTTTTGTCTCTTTAAACTGTAACCACATGTTCAAATAATGGGTTGAAGGGCCAAACAGACTGCTCACGGAAGAAAATGTTAAAGGGACCGGACTGGCCTCTGCTCTACTCTCCAGAGAAAACCAAAACCAGTTGCCGTCAAGTCGATTCCAACTCATGGTGACCCCATATGTGTCTGAGTAGAACTGTGCTCCACAGGGTTTTCAGTGGCTGATTTTTCAGAAGTGGATCACTAGGTCTTCCTTCCAAGGAGCCTCTGGGTGGACTCGAACCTCCAACCTTTTGGTTAGCAGCCGAGTGTGTTCATCATTTGCACTACCCAGGGACTCTACTCTCCAGAGAACAGACATATAACCCCTAGGGCCTGTTAGATGGAAGCCAAAGATTTAGAGTTGACAGATAACATATAGGATGCCCAGTTAAATTTGAATTTCAGATAAGTAACAAATAACTTTTAAGTGGTGTTGGTGAAGAATATCGAATATACCATGAACTGCCAAAAGAACGAACAAATCTGTCTTGGAAGAATTACGACCAGAATGCTCCTTAAAAGCAAGGATGGTGAGACTACATCTCACATACTTTTATCAGGAGGGATCAGTCCCTGGAGAAGGGCATGCTTGGTAAAGTAGAGGGTCAGCAAAAAAGAGGAAGACTCTCAGCGCGATAGACTGACACAGTGGCTGCAACAAGGGGCTCAAGCACAACAACAATTGTGAGGATGGCGTGAGACTGGGCAGTGTTCCGTTCTGTTGTACATGGGGTTGCTATGAGACGGAACTGACTTGATGGCACCTAACAACAACAACAGTTCTGAAACGGAGTCCCTGAGTGGCACAAACAGTTAAGCCTTCCACTACTAACCAAAAGGCTGGTGATTCTAACCCACCAAGTGGTGCCTCGGAAAACAGGCCTGGTGATCTACTTCCGAAAGGTCATAACCTTGAAAACACTATATAGCAGTTCTACTCTGCATACATGGGGTCACTATGAGTCGGAATCGACTCAGCGGCAGCTAACAACAACAAAAATGTTCCAAAATTACATGCGACTTATACTAAAAAATTATTCATTATTTATCTGAAATTTAAATGTAACTGAGCGGCCTGTATTTTTATTTGCTAAATTTGGCAATCCTACAAGGACTGGGCAAAGGGAGCCCTCTGGGAGGCACAGATGGCAAAACTGCATATTTGCAATTGACAGGGATTTATAAAGGAAAATGCCAGGCTTTCAGAACAGAAAGCCGAGTGCTGTCCCGGCGCTGTTTTCAAAGATCAGGGATCTAAACCGAATGTCCTTCTGTGGTTCCAAGAAAAGTCAGACCTACATGTCTATCATTCAGAGGCCACATGGGACATTTATTCACTGCTATTTACAGTTTACTGTAACCAATTCGGAGCCCTGGTGGCGCAGTCTTTCAGCGCTCAGCTGCTAACTAAAAGGTTGACAGTTCAAATCCACCAGTCGCTCCTTGGAAGCCCTATAGGGCAGTTCTACTCCATCCTATAGGGTCGCTATGAGTCAGAATCGACTCGACGGGAACGGGTTTGGTTTTTTTTTTTTCTGGTTTTGTAACCAATTCAGTGGCTACCTGTTAAAAACCTCTTTCCACAATGACATAGTTAAAGAGGTAAAGGAGGACAGCACATCTTTGCCCCTAGAATCCAACCTGGTTTCTGTTGCCAGCATGGATTTGTCACTGTAATATTTAGTTAACTCCTAATAATGAATTTGTCCCAACGAAGTTACAAGAGACAAATTAAACACTATGTTTACCCCTCCTAAACTAAAAACCAACCTGTTGCTGTTGGGTCAATTCTGACTTACGGTAACCCCATGTGTTACAGAGTAGAACTGCTCCACAGGGTTTTCTTGGCTGTAATGTTAGAAGCAGATCGTCAAGTCTTTCCTCACTGGGTGGGTTCAACCTCCAATCTTTAGGTTAGTAGTTGAGCGCAAGCTGTTTGTCCAAACAGGGACCCTTTGTACCCTTGCTATAAAGTCTGCCCCCGCCACCCCCGCAGAAACCACATTATTTTTTCATGAAAATACGCCAAGCTTTTAACAGTGTGTATCTTTGGAGGAAAGGACTACAGCAGATTTTCATTTTCTTCTTTTATACATTTTCACATGGTTGGAACTTTTTAAACACAAAATATTTACCCAAATAGGTCATACAATGGTAATTAACGTTCCCTGGGCTGCATCCCTTGCTCCTGCAGCTCCTGCCTCCAGGTCTCCTTCAATGGACAGTGTACTTCCCACCCTAGCCCTGTGCCCAGCCCTTACCGATACTTCATGCCCGTGCGCTGGGCGGTGCAGCTGTCCAGGGAGAGTCCGTGCATGCGGAGGAAGCTCTCCATATTCCTGGCCTGGGCGGCCGCACGCACCTCTCGCAGGCGCTGCAGCTCCAGCATGTCCGTCTGGCGGACGGGGTGCAGGGCCCAGTCGGAGTGGCACCTGCTGCTCACACTCCTCAGGCTCTCGCTGTACGTCATGGACAACATGGTACCGCCCAGCCCTGGAGCTGCTGCTGTCCAGACGGGAAATGCTGAGTGGTGGTGGATTAGAGAGCATGCCACTGCCCCCAGTGCCCCAGACTGGGTGGCGGGCCCAGGGCAGGGAGCAGCTGCAGCCAAACCTCCTCCAACGGGAGCGGCCACCAAGGGTTCTTGGTGTCTGGGGATGTGGCCTGGCCCCTCTTGACAATAAGATTCTTGGGTCCTCAAGAACTCTCGCTAACCCACCCTCCTCTGCCCCCTGTACGTGTGAAACAAGCACAGGCGAAGCTGCATTCCAGGCGGGAAAGGCAAACTCAAAAGTGTTCCAAGTGAGAACCGGAGCAAGGGGGAGCATGCAGAAAGCCTGTGCCCCCAAATGCTGAAGGCTGATGCTGCTATCCCTGGTGACTGGAGCACAGTCCCACAGCACTCTCTCGAGGTGACACCTAGGGCAAACCCAGGCAAAGGGCTGTCCCCGGGGTAGGGACCACAGCCCTCATTGTAGCAAACTCCAGGGTGACGATGCCAAGAGGGCATCTCATCCCCACGTGCCAGGTGGGCCCCACCCAAGGAAGACTCCTTGTTCCTAAACTTGGAAAGGAAAACACCATCCATACAACCACTCGCTTTTTGCTTACAGAAGGCGCCATTGCACTGGTGGAGTTCTTTGGGCTCTAGGCTCCATGATAATTGTGTCACACCCATGAATTTTTGCAATAGAAAGATGGAGCAGAATGCATTTATATAGGGGAGTTGGGGGTACCTGGGATCCGGACATTTCAAAGCTTAAATGTTAAGAGCCTTTGAAAAATAAACAGTCATCCTAAATGATGAATCAACACTCTCGAAAATGAAAAACCACATAAATGGCCATTGTCATGGTTTGAATTATGTCCCCCCTAAAAATCTGTATATCAGTTTGGCTGGGCCAGGATTCCTGGTACTGTGTGATTTTCCTGTATGTTGTAAATCCTGCCTCTATGATGTTAATGAGGGAGGATGGGTGGCAGTTGTGTTAGTAAAGCAGGACTGGATCTACAAGACTGGATCGTGTCCTGAGGCAATCTCTTGAGATATAAAAGACAGAAGTGAGCAGAGAGACAGGCGGACCTCATACCATCAAGAAAGCAGTACCGGGGTCCCTGTGCAGAGAAGCTCCTAGTCCAGGGGAACACCAAAGAGAAGGCCGACAGAGAGGAAAAGCCTTCCCCTGGAGCTGATGCCCTGAATTTGGACTTTTAGCCTACTTTAACTGTGAGGAAATAAACTTCTCTTCCTTAAAACCATCCACTTGTGGTATTTCTGTTATAGCAGCACTAGATGACTAAGACACCCATCAACAGGGAAACTGGTTACTTAAATTATAGTCTGTCCCTATAGCAGAAATTTGGGCATCCGTCAAGAATGCAGCGTCTCTATGTGGACTGATATTCAACGATCTCGAAAAGATGGCTGTAAATAAAAAAAAAAAAAAAAGAAAAAAAGCAAGGGGGAAAGTGTATAGGATACTTCCATTTGTGCTAATTCATGTAATAAAAGCAAGTGAATCAGTGAACAGTGGGAGATCTAACTCTGCTGTGTATTCGACCCACATCAAAGACCTGGTTCATGGGTCAACCACCCAGGGCCCCCCAGTGCTCCCACACCTGACCAAAGCAAGGCCATAGAGATGCAGCTGTTGAACCCTCCTCTTTGGTTCCTGCACGGTCCCTGAGCAGAGAGGGGACAGATGTGAAGCTATCGTTTCTGCAGGGCCACCTGCAGAGTGGGGTCCTGGAGCCCAGCCCTGGGAGATGGAGGGAATCAGCCCTGCCCCGCTTCCTGCCCCATGAGACAACAAGCTCAAGTGTCCCTGTTGGGGGCCTGGAGGGCTGTCCTGCCCTGGGGCAGCTGAAGAGGCTCCGCAGTGGTGCTTGAGGGTGAGGGTGGATGGTGAGGTCACCTTGGAGATGCCCTGGGATCCCCCTTCCTCTGCAAGCTCTAGGGTCAGCTTGGATCCACTCTACTTGGCAGGGGCAGGCAGTAGTGATGAGCCCTGTGAGCCCAGGGCCCTCTAGAATGGGTGCTGACCATTGACTGCTCTGTCTGAGCGTGCACCCCCAGGAGGAGGGACACCCCTGGAGCCTCGACATCCCCTTTATGCCCCAAAGAGGTTTCTGCGCAAGGATCTGTCTTAGGTTTCTTACTCCCTGGGTCATGCTGCCTGAGAGCAGGGATGCCCTTATGTCTGCCCCTCAACCCCTTGGCTCACAGCAGTGGGGGAAGGGGGGCTCGGACAGGATCCTGGGGAAACCAATGAGCAGGGACAGCTAGACGGCATCCGTCCCCGCAGGTCAGCATCTCATTGGAGCAGGCTGTGCCAACATCTCGATCCTCCTGGACATCTTGGACACTGTGTGCCAGGACCATCACACATTTCCCCCCAGACTCTCTACTCCACCCCAACGTGCCCCATCTCTTCCCTGTTGGAGCTTTTTTCCACGGCCCCTGTCATCATCTAACGTGCTGGAGATGTCTCTAACTGTTTCACTTGTTGCATCGATTCCCCCAAAGGCAGGTCCCCAGAGCAGGGACTCTTGTCCACGAGTCCGTAGCAGGGGCTTAGCTATGTGTCCAATAATCAGCAAAGGCGTGGGCGTACAGAGGCTGACCAGGGGCTGTGATGGGTGCTTCTTGGCAGGGCCAGACAGCATCGTGGCCTTGGGCTGGCTCCCTGATGTGCCCGGTGTTCTCTGGGTATATCCCCTCCTGCGGGGCTCCCAGCCCAGGATTTGCCCTCACCACGGCCCAGCCCCACAGGTGCTCTGCAGGGCCTAGGACCTCTGGCCTCCCTCTGGGTTTGGGCTGAGGTCTCTGAGGGGCATTAAAGTACTTGGGGGTGCTCCTGCATGAACCCCACCTTCCAGGTTGATAGGGGGTGCAGGTTTGCTTTAGGAAGTAGAGCCATAGTGACCACGGTGGGCAGTACCAGCTCCCCTTCCCTGTCCACTGGCCAGTTGGCCCTCCCCCTTCTCAAATCACCGGTACTTCTGAGGGGGTGGTGGGTCACCTGCCAGCCAGTGTGGGGCAGATAGAGGTAGACCTCCCACCCCAGGGCCATACTCACAGACAGACCAGTGCCGGCTGCAGCTTTGGCTCTTCCCGAAAAGCAGGACCTGCCCAGGTCACACTTTCCATCCAGGCCTGGCTGACTGGATCAATAGTTATTAGCTTGTAAGACTTTTCCCATAGAAAGCAGACAGGCCTGGTTGGCTCCGGACACACATCAGGGCCCTGGGGCGGATGGCAGCCTAGCACCAGGTTCTGGGCAGGGGCAGCCTGTCGCCCACTCCCCGTGTGACCCCAGCAGGCACCCTGGCTGCTCCAGCCTTAGTCTACACGTCTGTGAAGTGGAGATGAGCAGAGGCCGATGGCACAAGGTGGCTGTGTGGCTACAGGAGATGGGCTGCTGGGCAGTCAGGCAGGCGCTCAAGACATGGCCGGACACACCTTCATGGGAAGGGCATCAGCAGCGAGATGGGGCCAAGACACCAGCTATGATAAGTGTTGTGGAGAAAAGGGATAGACAGGGCAGGCAGGGCTGTCTGTGGAGGTGACACCAGAGCATGGGCTCAGATGACAGCAGTGAGCCGGGTAGGTACCAAACCTCACCAGAAAATGCTTCACAGGATGAGACAGAGGGATTAGTAACCGCCCCCCTCGCAGAGGACACAGTTCTAATGAGGTGGATCCTGGGTAAGGTTTGGGGATCTGGGTGGGGAGAGAGGGAGAGAGCAGGAAGAACCGGGCCTTGACCACCCTCCTGGCCTCTGCAGCCAGGGCTGGAGGGATGCCCCTTTCTGCGGGGCTGTGGTCTGCCTGCTTCTAATCTTCCCTTATAGCACATCTCATGGACCTGGGAACGCACCTGCAGCGTGGGCGAGGGGACCGTGGGTCTCCTGCCGCAGGCACACACCTGGTCCAGGAGGAGGCATGAAGAGAAAGGAGGGGGCGGAGACCTGGTGCCCACAGGTAAGTGTGTGGGACAGGAGGGCTGGGCCACGGTCATCCTCATGAGGTGCTTGAGGGTGGCCTGACTGGACAAAGGAGGAAGGGCAGGTGGGCATGGAGGACAGAAGGGGGACTCCTGATGGTCGCCAGCATGGCCAGGACCATCCCCTGGGTGAAAGTAGAACCCAGCTCCCCTGGACACAGCTGCTCATCCTCACTGGGGGTTTGTTCTGGGTTTCCCCTGTGGGTGCCTCCAGCAGAGTTGGGACCATGAATGAAGGGCCCCTGAGTAAAACTCTGCCAGGCAAAAGGGGGTCACCCATCCCTGGGGTGCCTACCTGGGCACCTTCGCCTCCCCGGAGCTCTTAGGTGCAGAATCCTCACCCCTTCCAGAGCAGGTCTCTCCACGCGCTCCCCCTGCACCCCCAGTGTCAAGACAAAGCAGCCCCCTCCCCAACGGCCCTTGCTGATGACATGGTCACTACACGTCCTCTCCTGCGCCTGGGTTTGCCTTTTGCAAATCTATTCTTGTAGATGGGGGGGCTCGGGGGAGTTCCCATCAATTAAGGCATGACATGGAAAACTGAAAGGAAGACGTTAACCTCATTAAGTCAGCAAGAAGAGCTCCTTCCCCCAGTCTCATACCTGGCATCTCTTAATTGCAGTCTGTTTACTGACGGCCATCAAAGCATAAAATGTTGAGACTGAGGAGGGATTTGGAACGCCTCTTCTCAAACCATGACATTTGTTAGCTATTAGAGAAATTAGCCAAGGTTCTTGAAAGCAGAAATGCAGAGGGAAGCCGATCATTCCGGAACACGCGTGGCTCTGAGATTCACGGCGGTCACAGCAGTGCAAACACAAAATTATTTGTGCTCAAGAACAGTCAGCAAACTGAGGCCTAAACAGGCAGTCCCTGACTCTCCCAGACATGTGCTTCCAGACAACTTCAGACAGCAACCAAACACTGACAGCTCTCAGGAACATTCAAAAACGCTGAATTCTCATCAATGGTGAGCCCCACAAGGTACAAGCTAGCCGCCCATGGCTCCCATGGAAGAACACAAGCAGGAAAGCACAGTCAGCACCCGGCAGGGCTGGGAGGCAAGCATCTCAGGCACAGGGCACCGACCACGGGCACTGCCAGGCAGAACCCACCACCCTCCTCTCCTCCCACACACACTCCCCTGCGTTTACCTACAGCCTGCTTGCTGAGGCTTTCTGCTTTGAGAAACCTAGAGGGTCTAATTTTAGATCAGCTAAAAGCATCCCCCAAAAACCACCTCCTCTGTTCTTTTAGCTCCAGGACAGCTGCACCCAGGGGCAATACCTCTGGGCAGGTGTCTGGGACATCTGCTCCTGCAGCAGAAGGGGCCACTCACCTGCTGTCCTGGGCGTCTGCTCATTAAAAGGGACACAGCCTAGGTTATTAGGGTTCAGCAGGCGCTCTAAAGCCCTGGTGCTGTGGTGTTTGCATTCGCGGAGTGTCGCTGTGGAACGTCAGAAGCAATTGGTGAATGAGCAGGGTCCCACAAGAGCTGAGTTCCGAGACCGGGAGTCCATTAGTTCTATTAGGGTGTTTTTATCTCGGTGAAGGCGGCTGAATTATTCACGAATGGCTCTGCCCCTAAAAGCCTGGGAAGTGCAGTTCCGCAGCGCAGCCTGGCAGGCTGGCTTGTGGCACGTAGGTGGGGGGCACCGGCGGTGGGGAGGGGCGCCATCCCCTTAAGCTCATCCTCACTGTCATCACTGCCCCGCATGCTGGAGACCAGACCCCGGAACCACAGGTAGAAAAGGGCAGGGTGAGGGCGGAACACAGAGCTTGCAGCTTCTGCCTCACCAAATTCCTAACTGTCTGCAGCGGGCAAACCGTGGTCTCCACAGTGGTTGACTGTACATGCAGAGACCCCTCCTCCCCTCCACCAGGATGTGCCC